GGAAATGTGAGCATAGCAGTAGAGAAAATCTGATGTACAGTTTGCGTCTGACTCTGGCGCTTAAGAATCAATGATGGCATATGCCCTGGCATCAATATAATACTCTTCAATGCAGATTCAACAATGTATATTTGAAGAAATTTCACTTAAAGACTTCACAGAAAAACAAATAGTTCCCCCTCATCTCACACACATTCTGAACAACTGCGTCAGCATATGAAGTTGGGAGAACGCAACTGAAGCTTTCTGCATCGGAAAGTTCTGGATTTGCGTAGTCGAGAAGAGAAGGAGTTGAGAAGAAAGGAATGAAAAGGATGGAAAGGAAAAGACCAAAAAAGAATAAAAGCGGTGAAGAGATAGAAAAGAAAAAAGAGTAGAAAAAGAAAGTTGAGAGACCTGGAGAAAAGAGAGGAAACGGAAGTGAGGGAGAAATAAAGCCACTGAGATAAAGTATGCAGAAGAAAAAAAGAAAGAAGAATATAATACGGGAAGAATAGAAAATATAATACGGGAAAAGAAAGAGGGAAAGAAGGAGAAGGAAGGAAAACGAAAGAAGTGAGAAAGAAAGAAGGAGAGAAGGGAGAAGAAAAAAAGTAGAGAAGGTAAGAAAGGAAGAAAGAAAAAAGACGATAGGCAAGGAAGAAAAGAAAAAAAGATGAAGGTAGTGAAAAAGAAATAAACAAATGAAAGAAAAAGGAAAGAAAAATGAAAGAAAGAAGGGTTAAAAAAAGGCGATAATGAGTGGAGCCGAAACGCGGATTCCGAGGCCGTCGCCGCACCTGCGGCCAGGGCGTTAACGGCGCGCGGCCACCACGCGGCGGGCGGCGCTGATTGATCGGGGGCCTCTGGGAGACGGAGCGCTCCCCGCCGGAGGGACGTTAAACACCCGCTTTGCGCGCTTTTTGTTCGCTCTCCAAATCAATTACCTTTATACGCGCGCGTATATTTTTGCTGCGCGATAGATGTTTGCGAGCGATTTCGCTTTCTGTTTCGTTCGTGCGTTCGCGGTGATGCTTCGCGTAGAGAACGGACAATGTTTTGAGGCAAAACAGGCATATTACGCATTCCGAGCCGGCGTTTAACGCCTGAGTGATAGTTATTTAGTATGAAAAGAGGCGTGTGTGATGTAAAAATACTTTCTACAAATTAGTGCTTCGTAAATAGAATCTTATTACTACTCGTCTATGTTCCAAGCTTGTAGTTCAATTTTATCTTCTCATTGGTGAGGTCACGGTCTAATAAATAAAAATACGGATTCAAATGCCTTTAAATGTGAATAAAACAAATCTATTGCACTAGGAGATCGTCACTACATTTACATTTATTGTAATAGTAGGAAATTCAAGAATTCAATGAGTACCTTCATAGTTATGTGAAACATAAACAGATGTTAAAAGCTAAAGTAATTTATTTTAATGAATTCAATTAAGTGAAATATTGGCTCATACCAATGAAGAGGACAAATACTTATTTTAGTTTAATATGTAGTTTATATAGGTACATATGTATGATTATGACAGTTATAGCCGTAAAAAAATAAGAAATATTTAAGTTAGAAAACCGGATATATTCTCCATCACATTAGTAGTTTTATTGATAATCTACGCTCTTTTTATTCATCTGCCTCCTGCATAAAACAAAATATTCAACTCACTATTCCTTAAAGTCGTTAATGCGTAAATACACCAAATGCAGCTCTGGCGTATTGCAGTAACGAAATAAACTTCTTTAAAGTCAGTGCTGGAAGGAAGAAAAAAATCAATGAAGTGATTTTGATTCAGTGCATCTATTTGAATACCAAATGGCAAGGGAACAAGAACCGACAAAACGTCAGGAAAGATATTTCGCCGAAGGCGCCGAGTCTAATTACAACAACCCTCAATTACTGCCCGTTTATATATTCATATCTCAGAGTTAACGCGAGTAAATTTTTACTACACGAGACACGTGTTTTCCAATCTTTAAATCATCATCACGATATCGTTCATATCTGTTTTTAATCTCATGATACACCTTACGAAAACAAATTATGTTCTAAAAATAAAATGGAACTTATATCACAATTTTAGGTCATTGTCGAAGAAATCGTTTAAATAAAGATGGTCTGTACAAGAGTATTTTTCGCCGTCTTGTGTATTTCCATAGATAAATCTGCTCATTTGTCAAATATTAATGAGCTCACATTTAAGAGAAAGCCTACAGAAGAAAAATGTACAGTTTTTTTTAATATCTGCAGACTTTTTTTTTAAACATACTCCTACGAACTTTTATTGTTCTTAAAAATAATAAACAACGATTTAATAAAATATATCCACCACACGATATTTAAAGAGTTAGTGAAAGAGGAACCCCTATCGTAAATTCCTACGCCGTTTAAGCAAGTAGAGTTTTAATAACCAGACGATTTCTCGAAAAAACATTTCTGTATGAAGAAAGTCATTTGGAGCAATTCTCTCCACCTCCCTCCATGGCACACCTTCTCTTCCATTACCGACGCGAATAACCAGCAGGCGGCGGTCACGGTGCCACAAGACAAGCGACACAATTCCAGCGAGCCAGGCATATCAGCGATCTCTGCCGCAATAGCCAGCACAAGGTGCAACGGATCTCGCAGCAGCGGCGGGGGCGGCGATGGGGCGGGGGGGGGGAGCACAGGGCCCAACGGCCACCAATTAACGTTAATAATTTCTCGTTAGCGCTCCCATTTTACGAGAGATCGTCCCGGCACCAACCCGCCTTTATGGAGGCAAATTGTTCAAATTGCGTCCTAATCTCATCTACGGCTATTAATTCCACGAATACACAGGCCGCCGCCCCCTACACCCGTTCCAACGCCCCAGTAGACGTCGTGGAGCGCGCTGTGACGTCATCATTACCTCCGAGGAGTGAAGTCCATAGCTGACGCTCGCCCCCCTTTGCTCAGAGTTCTCGCTTTACGATTGAGGCGCTTTACGATTGTTTATGCTCGCGATTTGCCGTGCAGGGGGGGGGGGTGCACCGGGGTTAAAAGGGGTAGCACGTGCTCGAAGGGTTGTAACGGCCCGTTAAAGAAGACCGCTGCTATCGCAACGGGCGGGGTAAACTCGACGGAATAATACGTTGTGTTTCTGCGCGGCAATTCTACTCCAGTTCGTTGTAATTGAATAGATCCATTGGTCGAAGTAGTTTTGGTTTGCGTGACACAGCTGCTTGTGAGAGTGTTGAACACCTTTATTATTAGATAGTTATGCGACATCAGCTTATTTTCAACGGATTCTTCGTATTGGGTGTTTTTGTGACTTCTTCTCATTAGAAGTCAGTGGTTTGGGATATGACCTCGTTGAAGTCTCATCTGCAAAACACATCCATGTGGGTGTTGCGCCAAAAGATTCAAAGTGACATAGCATTACGGTTTGATCTTGTCTCAACCATTCCACTGACACTACATCATGCAACTGTTTAATATTATCGTTTATGCACAATTAATATATTTTGTTTAAATAAGTTTAACATTTTGTTCAAAGAAAAAAGATTTGATATGTAGCTATTTTGGAAGATATAGATTTTAAAATTGACAAATTTACATCCAAAATTAATTATCTTTTCAGTTGCCCGCAATTTATTAAGTCTTCCACAACGTCGCTATAAGAATTCAAACATTACATAGTAGTACACCTTGATATCAGATGACATACAATTCGAGAACAGCAAATCGAATCACGGCGTATCGGTAACAAAGGTAAACGAAGCGACATTGAAACACGTCACATAGCGTGCCATAACACGGAGCGACGGATTAAATAAGCCGTAGCCCCCGCACGTAAAGAGATACCAAACAGCGGAGATACAAAAAAAGTTACGATTTCAGATACGTGTGCGAGTACATCATGATAAATATCAGAGTACAATTTTGAAAATTCCATGGAAAATACTGAAAACAAGAGTGTTCTAAGATTTTTAGATAATTTTTGTTTAGTGTAATTGCAGCCAATTCCTCAATTCGTTTGTCGATACAGATGTAGATACGATGTAGATGCGTGATGAGCAAAATATTGTTTAGCTCAAATGTTTCGACCTGACTGTTCAAAGGAAAAAAATAGGGTATATGCAACTCGGATGTAAATAAATATTTCACAAATTAATATAGAAGCTTTTATTGGAATCTTGAAGTGTCGGTTTGACATTAGGAATTCCAATACTGGAACAAAATATTGTTTTGAACAAACAATGTCGTATATGCTACAGATGATTACATATGCGTTAAGAAGCTTCTAGAATCTTTGCAATCCACCATTTTGTGTCCCCAACAACCATAAGCATATTTTTACGTATATTATAAAACGCCTAAATAATTCCTAAATAAAAATTAATCAAATGTCCAAATCATCAAAAGAAAGGTACTTCTGGAGAAAGCTGGAAAATTGAAATTATTGGATTGAGAGTGAATCCTTGCGGCAGACCAAAACCACCACGTTGCACTCAGACGCAACGAACAGAACCGCACTGACAGGGAATTTTATACTATACGTAGACGCCGAGAAAGCAATTATGTAAATCCTTAAAAAACTTCCTGTGAATCGAGAAATGGAAGCTATTACTCGTATTATTTCTTACGCCCGGTTCAATTGTAAATGTTGTTAAGAATGTATAGCGTTATTGCTATACTTACTGTCAGGTACTGTGGTCGAAGATTCACAACGGATGCAAATTAATTATTATTATTGTTATTATAATTTTTATTTTCATTATTATTGTTATTATTAATACTATTATTTTCTAAATTCTCGACTAAATATGTTAGATGCTGGTGACTGCGAATGCCTCTTCATTTCTTTGCGCGCGGTATTAGTTGTTGCTATTTGTATTATTGTTATTAATACTATTAATGTGATTGATACTACGATTTCGAGATTCCTAAAAAAGCAATTTTCAAATACTGGAAGTATAGGTATTTGTAAAAAAATACTTTAGAATGGACCCCTGCGGCACACCACCTTCGCGACTCGGCAGCAGGTACTCACCAGCGACGAGCGCAGCCGCGCAGACTGCGAGCAGCAGCAGCGGGCCCATCACAGCGGGGGCAGCGGCGGCGGAGGCGGCGGCGGCTGCGGCGCGCAGCCCATCACAGGCGGCGCGGGGCGGCGGCGCGCGCCGGCGCCGGGCGCAGGGCCCGCATCCTGCAACACGCCACGCCGCCCGTCAGCCTCCCACGCACGCGTCACGCGCACGTGCACGTGCACGGCGATTAAGGTCGCCGAGTGGCGCCGCTCGATAGCGCCACATGTTCGACTCAAACACTGCCACCCACCAGTGCCAGTAACCGTGGGAAAGGAAGGATTCGGAAGTATTTGCCGCCGCCCTTCAGCCTCCCTCGCACGCGTGACACGCTCGTGAACAGCGATTAAGGTTGCCGTGTGGCGTCTCTCGATAACGCCACTGAGAAGCGCCATACTTATCGACTCAAACGCGGCCACCCACTAGTGCCAGTAACCGTGAGAAAGGAAGAATTCGGAAGTATTCGACGCTACCCGTCAGCCTCCCTCACACGCGCGACAACGCCATTGAATCGCGCCGCCCGGGTTGACTCAAGCGTAGCCACCCAGCAGTGCCAGTAACCGTGGGAAAGGAAGGATTTGGAAGTAATCGACGCTATCCTTCAGCCTCCCTCACACGCGCGATAACGCCATTGACACGCGCCGGTGAAACGCGCAAATGTAAATAAAAACTAAACCTTTCCTACTCAGATCTGTTAAGGAACGTTTCGCAAAACCTTTGGTTTGGATAACAAGTAAGAAAATTTCGTTTCTGTTAACTGTCTACTGGTATAGATAATAACATGGCCATGTTTGAGAGTGACGAGAAAAAAAACAATACACAGTATTGTTTAACTTGTTTAAATTAATTTCTATAGAGTTAAAGTGCATTATTCCTTAATTTAATTAAATTATAGTATGCATCTGTATAGGCAAATGCCTTTTTTTGAATTCATAAATTATCAAAGCGCAATGTTCCTTTTGTTTTAGTGATCAGAATTAGGGCTGAGGAAAGCTGCCAACGACAAATTCGTATATTTAAATTCCAACGACCCCTGGTAATGCATCTTCACGCTAAAATGGTTTTCAATGCATTAATCAGCTAAAAAACAGTTTCCCAGCACCTCTTTCACCGGATCTGACAACATCAGAACAACAATTTTTTGAGTGAAGAATAACAACTGGGGATAAAGCTACACAATTGTAAATTTTATCATATCTTGTTAACTGTTAAGATGTGGAAAACTAAAACAAGATGCACCAGGTGAATAAAGTGCCCTTTAAAAGGAGTAAATTGGCGTACTATAAATATGAACTTTAAGTGCTATTAACGAGAAACGTAAGACATCTTGTCAACTGCACCTGCAAATTTTGTTCGTAGAACGTATAGAATAAAAATTTCTATGTTGGCAACATTTTTCCCTTCTACTGAAAAGTACCTCTAAACACCTGTCCAAAAACGGAGCGGATCTTTACGGGTCAATATTGACTGTCAGACGTCAGCATATCGACGAGAACGAACCGTGGAATAAAAAACCAGAAGTATTGACAGACGGGGCAGATTGAAATATAAATATTTCGTGTACTGTGAAACCGCACTGAAAATGATGACAGCTTAACAATGTCAGTATTAGTGACAAATATTGACTGTTGATGTACCATTGTGAAATGTATTGAGAGCGACAAATACATCTTAAAGTATTCTCAGTACGCATGCTAGAAGGTAAATGTTGACGTTCTGCAGCTCTAGTGAAGGATATGATAACTCATAATCAAAGATGAAAATCAGAAATTTCAAATATTCAATGTTGTCTCACATAACTTACCCAATTTCGTACTTTCAGAATAATGTAAAGCTGTAATAAAATGAAAACGACAGACATTAAAATTATCTGTGTATTATTACCAACACACCCCTCCCTTCATTTTCATGAGCAGAGGAAACTAATTGCACCAGAATTATTTGAGAATAATATTATTTATTTTTATGTAATCAACTAATTTTTAAAATTAGTATTTAATTTTGTTTTAATTTTAACAATTACTTCATGAAAAATAGCAAATAATAATGAGATTGCATTGATATTCTTAAACCAAATACTGTGGTGAGCATGTACGAGTTTAGGCATTTAATTTTTAAATATAGGACAAACATTGATAGTGCTAGTGATAATACGAGAGTATTCTCTGTAGATTTTAAGAAGAGAGTTTTGAAATGCTGCAATCGATTAAGAAACCACGAAAGAACTATAGACATGTAAACTTTCGAATAGTTACATCATGTTAACATCATATTGCTTTTACATCATTTTAACTTCATATTAAATTTACATCATTTTAACATTATATTACATTTACATCATTTTAACATCATATTACATCTAGGTAATTTTAAATTTGATAACTATGTGTTAATAGTCACGAAAGCAACTTCGAGAGTACCCGCTCAGTAACCGTCCCCCGCGTGTGAGAAAATCAACGACCTGCCCCGCGCCGGGTCCCCTGCATTTCGGCAGAAAACACTTTCCATTAGGCGCCGCCGCCGCCTCTAACTGGCTCCCGAGCACGTCGCCCGGATTCCTCGCGCTATTCCCCGGGCGCGTGCCCCATAAGTCAGCGGCGGTCGCTCGCGCAGAAGGCCGCCTTGGGGCGACCCCCTGGAAGGGGAAGGCGTCGCGGGCTGACCTCCTCGCGCCCCGCCCACTCCCGACCAGCCCTCGTCCGTCCCCGCCATCACTTCTTACGTCGGTCTCCCTCTCCCCCACACGCCTCGGGCAGACCCGCCCGCCGGGCAAAGGGCAACTTTCCACCCCTGCCGCCCTGGACCGGCGCTCCCGGGCGGGAAGAGCTTTGACACATTGAAAAGGCAAAATTAACGTTTACGTCGTCTCCAGCTTATTGGAGCGTTCTGCGCCCTCCTCCAAGTGCCCTGCCGTTTCCGCACTGCGTCGTCGAGCAGCTCTTCTCGAGAGACGGATTGTTCTGGGCGGAGTAGTTTTGCTGCCGCTCCACGTGCACGTCGTGGCAATGTTTCCTCAGATTGCAAGTGCCAGGGAAGTATGTGTGAATTGCCCAGGCACCCCTAATTCAAAGACTTAGTAACCAGACCCAATCTACAACAGTTTTTCACCTTGTCATCACTTACGCCAAACACTCTAGCTATTGGCTCCGCCGTACGTTTGCACTCCTCACCTTGCCAGTCACTATGACTCCCTTTATCATATCCACACACAGAATGGGTCCAGATTTCAATACCTAGTCACACACATTTTGTCACCAACAGCTCAAAAGTCAATTTGTCGGGGTACCTCACTAAGTATCTAGTTAATCAAGCATAATATAACTAAACGGCGACTCAGTGGTCAACCAGTTAATAGCTTTGTCAATAATCGTGTTGGCCACCACCAATTGTCGGTTCGTCTATCTCCTGGTCACCATCCTTTCTTGACACACTACTATCTTGTCACATGCAAATTATCGATCAACCTCAATGCAATCTACTCGACAATTCAATACTGGCACATAGTTGAAGCTATGCATCCGTTTGTTTCGTTCAACTGTGCATCGTTTTAAACTGTGGCACCCTTGTCGCTATGTACTTTCCCTCCTGTGTTTAGCTGTCCTGCCACCTTCTACCAAGTTCGAACGCAACTTTCCATCACCCTAGCTCTCTTTCCTCACTACTTTTTACTCGCTCACACCGCTTGGCCTTCTCATCTTACCGCCCTCGCGCAGATCGACAACCCTCCCTACGCCTCGCCCTGCCCCGAGCCCAAGCAAGCGAGCTTGGGCTGCCGTGGGCGCCCGGGATAGATGGAATGTTTTGGTCTTGCCATTCATTATGAAGAGGAACTTAACGCGTTTTTCAATTTGTCCTCCTCGGTTGCTAGGTTCGTTACGGCGAACTCCACCGCGCTGCCCGCGCGGCCGTCTGGCGGTGGCGGCTGGAAATAACTCTGCCCCGCTTGGGCTTACAGGCGTCGGAAACTGAATGCCGGCGCGCCAAGCCTGGCGGGGGCGCGGAGGGAGAAAGGGGGGGGCTTGGAAGGAGGTTGCGCTGCGAAGCGGGCGATGGCGGGGCGAGGCGGAAACGAAGGGGTGGACAAGACTGGAGCCAGGGCAGGAGGGGCGGGCAGTGGAAGGGGCGGTGAAACGATGCGAGGCTGAGAGAGGCCTGGGCGAGATGGAAGAGGCGGGATGGACACGTCGGGGAAATGGAATGGGCAGGGAAGTGAATTGAAGGAAGTGGTTAGCAAATGGGTGGTGATGTGGGTAGAACCGGTAGTGATGCAAGCAAATGAAGGTCTGGCAAAATTTTTGAGCAGCTCTGCGGAGAGAAGGATATTGGGAAAGAGATGTGGATGGATAGGGCTGGGGTACGATTTCGGTGTACCGTTTCGAATTACAGATTTCGCTGGAGGGCTTGGCAGACCGGACGGGAATGTGAAAGAGTAGGCAATGGAATTTGGGATGGGGAAGTTAGGACATGATATAGAATTTAAGAGTGCTGGGTAGGGTAGACCTGAGTATTGCGATCAATGGCGGTGGCGAGAAGGTTGGCGACGGCGTAACGGAGTAAGAAAAACAAAGTGGAAAGACGGCAAGGGAGAGTGTGAGACGGGCAGGGAAAGGTGGGGAGAGCGTGCGGCAGGTAATGGATGGGTGTTGATTGTCGGTGTATTTGAGATACTGGGCAATATGGGCGAGGAGGGGAAGGGGCGGGGCGGGTAAGCTTTGTGGTGGGGCGAAGTAGGGGTGACGTAGGGTGAGGAAAGGCTGGAAGATGTGGACTGGGGGCTGGATGGTTGTGGTAAGTTGGTGGGGTTGAGAGACTCAGGGCGGGAGAGGGGCGCGACGGTCAGCGCATAAATGGGAGGAAGAGGGACGAGAATTGGGGGTTGGAAAAAAGGCAGGGAGGAAGTATGAGCGAGGACTTCTGGGACAGGGCTTGGGAAAAAGATCTTTAGCTGAAGAGGGGCGTTCGTTCTACCCAAAGTGTGTGGGGCGCGGAAGGACACGTAAAGATAGGAAAGACTGGGAAGACTTGGTGAGAGGCAGAGGGCTGGATGGCGTTACGGAGGAGGGCCGGTAAAGAAGCCTGGTGCCATAGGGGAGGGCGGAGCGGATCGGAGCTTGCTCGAGGA